TGGTAGCATAGTGGTTATGAATCGAGCTGTTAACCACAAGGTCAGCAGTTCAAAACTACCAGCCGTTTTGTGGGAGAAAGGTGAGGATTTCTGCTCCTGTAAAGACTTACCGCCTCGCAAACCCTATACAAGGTCGCTATGAGTCGGAACCAACACCACGGCACATCACCACCACCACCACCATTCTGATACCTTTCTTTGTCATTAGAATGCGAGATCATATTTGTATATAGAAATGTTACCTGTTACTAAGAGGGAAGGAGGCATAAAACTCAGCATGAATAAACGAACCAAGAATCAGAAGCATATCGTACCTGTCCAAAATAGGAGCTAATAACATTTTGAGGAGCATCTGCACACCTCCCTGGGTAAAGTGCTAGTTTTGATGGCAGTTTCTTAATTTCCATTTTACAGGTGAGACAAGAGATACAATCTCAACCCTCTCAATGTGTATTTTCTGCTTCCTGAGTGGCATCAGGGTGCTCTCGGACGGTTAATTCCTAGCAAGCTGTCAGGGTGTGGCGTAATGCTTCTAAGAGTCCAGATGGATGCTGTGCTGTGTTATTGTTGGTGTTAGGTGTTGTTGAGTCTGGTTTGACTCAGAGCGACCCCATGCACAACTGAATGAAGTACTGTCCAGTCCTACGCCACCCTCACAGTTGTTAAACACTTGGGCCCATTGCCACTGCTACTGTACCAGTCCATCTCCTTGGGGGTCTTCCTCTTTTTCGAAGCCCCTCCAGTTTACAAGTTTGTTGTCTCCTTCTCCAGGGATGGTCCCTCCTGATAATGTGTCTGAAGTCTGAGCGAGCGTCTGACCATCCTGCCTTCTAAGGACCATTCTGGCTGTACTTCTCCCCATCCAGATTTGTTAGTTCTGGTAGTCTCTGGTACTGTTAGGAGTCTTCTTAAGAGGACTTGGAGCCCTGTTCGAGGGAGGGAGATAGCACAGTCCAGCTTCAGTCACCACGACGCCCATTGTCACGTAGTTACTGACTGCACAGACGGGCTCACAGAGCTGGGATTGCAGATGTCCGTGGGTCCCTTTCTCCCAGAGGCAACGTTTTCTCTTGCAGGTGGATACATCTAGTTGACTCCGACTCATAGCGACCCTGTATAAGGTTTTAGAGGCTGTAGGAACCAACAGCTGCCTCTTTCTCCTGAGGAGCGGCTGGTGGGTTTGAACTGCTGACCTTATGGCTACCAGTCCAGTGTTAATTGTAGAGCTCCATCAGAGCTCCTTTTGAAGATAGATGTTGTTGTTGATCTTGTTAACGTCCTGTCGCCTCAGTTTCAACTCATAGTGACCCTGTCTGGAGTTTCTAAATGCAATTCTGCGTGTGTTTGATTTCCTGTCTTTTCCCTTTCCAACTTTGCACTCAGATGCAATTTTGCAATTTGAACTTCCTGTGTAGACCATTAGGCACCTTTTAGTGGAGGCCTGTAGTTGGCCATGACCCCACTAAGTGGCCATTAAGGTAAAATGTTTTGGCATTGCTCAGTAATGAGCATGCTTTCTAATTCCTTTCTCCCTGCTCTGTTTTCTTGTTCTTTCTCTTCTCATAGTCTCCACCCCCCACCCCCGCCCCATTTCCGTTTGCCTGTTGGAGAACTGATAGCTGAAGGCTCTTCACACTGCTTCAGACAGTGCCCTGGAATCCTTGTAGCTACTTCTTGCGCACTGAAATGTCAGGTACTTCCAAGCAAAACTCAGGGGATTGCTGGAATGACAGCTGTACTTTCAGTTCCTTTATGAAAAGGAGAAATACAACTAAGCAGTTGGTTTTTAGAAATGCGTTTATTGTCATTCAGACTTCTAAGTACCAAATTCATTTAGAACAAATTCAGATCAATTTTATAATCCAGTACCATGGATTACAAGCCAGCATGTTTCTTAGAAGTGAGCATTGTGAGAGTTCATCCATGTACTTTGGGCATGTGATCAGAAAGGACCCGTCAGTGGAAAAGTACATCACACATGGTAAAGTAGAGGAGGGTCATTGAAAAAGAGGAAAACCCCCAACGAGATGAGTGACAGAGTGGCACAGTGGCAGCCACGCAGACCTCCCGCGTATGACAGTGATCGTGAGGTGTGTCGTCGTTCTGTTTACAGAGGGTCTGCATTGACCCCATGGCACGCAGCAGCAGCACCATTGAACCAGCTGTGTCGTGCTTTTCTGCTGTTACGTGTTTTCTTGATGTGAACACAGCTTTATAACTAACAAGGAGCCCAGGTGGCGGCGTTGTAACATAAGCAGTGGACTTGCTAACTGTAGGGCCAGCGTCTGAGATTCCATCCGCCCCTCTGTGGGAGAGAGATGAGGCTGTCTGCTCCTATAAAGGTTTAGTCTCAGAAACCCTGTGTGGAGAGGGTCACTGTGAGCCAGGATCCACTCGATGGCACTTGGTTTAGTTTTGGTTCTGAGGTGATGAATAACCCTTAATTTATTATTTTCAAACAAGATTGTCTTTTCTCTCAGATTTAAACGAGATCTGGATGCTTGTGCTTCGTGCTGGATGTAGTAAACGTCACTGAATTAATACTCTTCTTGTTGTTAGGTGCTGTCTAGTTGGTTCCATTGCATAGCGACCCTATGCAAGACAACAAAACTCTGCCGCGCTCTGCGCCGTCACAATTGTCCTTACGCCTGACCCACTGCTACCATCACTTGTCAGTCCATCTTGTTGGGCGTCTTCACAATGGTTAAAAAGGCACAATTGGTTATGTATATATTTTGTCATAGTAATCTTTAAAAAGATTTGGATGTTGTGTGGACACTGTGTAGGTGATGCTCATGCAGTTAGTAGAGTCCTGGCGTGGCGCTGTAGGATAAGTGCTGGACTGCTTACCATAAGGTCCATGGGTCAAACCCACTAGCCGCTCCTTGGAAACCCTGTGCCTTAAATGTAAATGGTCTAAACTCCCTGTTCAACGGACAGAGTGACAGAGTAGATTTAAATGTTCCAAGGTAGCATATGCCCAAGAACCAGTGTATTGAAGGAAGGAGTCGAAGCTACACTGAAGGCATTAGCCGAAAACAAGCATCAGGACTTGACAGAATGCCAGTTGAGATGGTTCAACAAATGATGCAGTCCTGAAAGTGCTCGCTCATCTCTGCTAAGCAATTGGTAAGATAGCTTCCTGAACAACTCACCAGAAGAGATCTCTATCAGTGCCCATTCCAAAGAAAGGGGATCCAACAGAATGTGGAGAGATTACCAACTGTATTGTTGTTGTTGTTATGTGCCGTGGTGGTATATTTACATATGTGAAAACTGCATAGTGATTAAAGAAGATTGAAGAATTGATGCATTTGATTTGAGAATTGATGTTGGTAAAGAATATTTAATATGGACTTCCAGAGGGGATGGCCAGATCTTTTCTTGGAAGAAGTACAGCCAGACTGCTGCTTAGAAGCAAGGAAGGCGAGACTTTGTCTGCCTTTAGACATGTTGTCAGGAGCAGCCAGTCTGGGGAAGGGCAGCATGCTTGGTAAAGTAGACGGTCAGGGAAGAAGAGGATGCCCCTCAGGAACTGGGTTGTCAGAGCGGCAGCAGCAGTGGACTCCAACAGCACTGATGGTGAGGATGGTGGAGACCCGGCAGTGTTTCCTTTCGTTGTCCGTAAGGTCATTATGCGTCAGAGTGGACTCATAGCACTGATGGTGAGCATGGCGGAGACCCGGCAGTGTTTCCATTCGTTGTCCGTAAGGTCATTATGCGTCAGAGTGGACTCAGAGCACTGATGGTGAGCATGGCGGAGACCCGGCAGTGTTTCCTTTCGTTGTCCGTAAGGTCATATGCGTCAGAGTGGACTCAGAGCACTGATGGTGAGCATGGCGGAGACCCGGCAGTGTTTCCTTTGGTTGTCCGTAAGGTCACTATGTGTCAGAGTCAACTCAACAGCACCTGACGCTGTGGTGTTCACTGTGACACTCTTCACAATAGCAAAAAGATGAAACAGCGCATGTGCCCTTCAGTGGATGAATGGAGAAGTCAAATATGGTACATGATACAGGTTTTCTTCAGCAAAAAGAAAACTAATTCCCAGGCATCTTGGAGCCTGAATGAACCTGGAGGACGAGTTCTGTAGCAGAAGCACTGGACTGCAGCGTTGGTTTGAACCATAAGATCAGTGGTTCAAACTCACCTGCTGCTCCTCAGAAACCCTACATAGGGTTGGTATGAGTCAGAATCGCTTGCAGGACTTAACAACAACATATAGTCAGTCACACAAAACCCAAATACTAGATGTCCTCACTTTTATGAAAGACATGTAGTTAGCAGGGCTGAGGGCAGGGAGGATGGGGTTCACTCGTACTAATTTTGGTGATGGGAAACCTGTATACAGGTTTATAAAGACATTGATAACAAAAGATAATGTTAATGAAACAAACAAGCACACACATCAAAAGAAGTATTCTGCTAACAGCAAGCAGAAGCACCTCTCGGAGTAGTTCTCATAACAGGACCCCATTATAAGTTGGGGATTACCTGTACTGCGTGCCTCCACGGCTTTGTCCAAAATATCCAAACCCACTGCCATCAAGTCATCTCCGACTCACAGCAAGCAACCTCATACAGGGTCTCCTTTACAAGGGCAGAGCCTCACGGCTGGTGGCTTTGAATTAACTACCTTGCAGCCCAAGGCTTAACCCACAGCACTTCCTTGCTAGATAGAAGGGATCGTTTTGAGAAGGAGAACAGTTTGAACAAGGCTCAGCGGTGGCCAGTCATTGCACTGGTCTGGAGAGGGGATTTGGGGTCTGCCACCCTTCTGTTTTCAGATTTGCTTTTTCTAGTGGGTTACTTTCGTAACCTAGGTAATAGTAACCTTATTTCTGCCTTGTTTCCTTTACAGGTGAATTTTAAATAAAGTGTTTGGACTCATGAGTGTTTTTTGATTATAACACACTCCTTTTTCTTGTTCCCCCTGGATATTTGTGCAAATCTTTTAAAAAAAATCTTACCAATTATATTGTGACTGTAAATCAAATCTACATCACAGGTCTTTTCTTTGTATGTGTGGTTCATAGATTCTTTCAAATGCTATGTGAACATTGCTGTTAATTATTCAGTAAGCTTTTGTATTTTCAAACAGAATGAGGGAAAAATCGAAAAGGAATGAGAGAGGAAGTGTTGGCACTGCTTTTGGGATGAGAAATGCTGTCTTTTTCTGTCTCAGGTTGAACAAGTGAAAGTTCTGGACCGATTCAGCATCAGCACCAAGTCCTTAACAGGAACTCTGTACTTGACGGCCACACATCTGTTGTTTATAGACGCTCATCACACGGAAACGTGGGTAAGGAGAAACGCACGCACCCCCCCCAACCCCCGCAGGCTAAGGGTGTTACATACAACACACTAGTAACAGACTTGAACTAGGTTTCCATGTTTGACCATCAGTTTCTTTGTTTATAGACGCCCATCACACAGAAACGTGGGTAAGGAGAACCCCCCCCCCCCAGGCTAGGGGTGTTACAACAACAACACACTAGTAACAGACTTGAACTGGGTCTCCGTGTTTGACCATTGGTGTCTTTGTTTCCACGTGTTGCTGTGTTGACACTATGACAAGGGGGGCAGTTGAAGAAGAGACGTTTTCTCACCATTGTGAAGGCTAGAAGTCCACATCAGGGTCTTGGTTGGGTTGTGTCCTTCCTTGTCAGGAACCCTGAGTGACCCTTGGCTTGTTGGTTATCTTCACATAGTATCCATCTTGGACCTTTGTTCTTTTTAAATCGGAAGGGATTAGATTTGTCGTCCTGGTGTGGCACTCTAGGGTCAGCTCTGCAAGGTTGCCAGTTCGGACTCACCAGCCACTCCTTGGAAACCGTATACAGGATTCTTAGGAGTCGGAACCAATTTGACAGCACTTAACAAAAGCAACTACTCATGCAATTGATCTAATTAACAAAACACAGCCTTAATTTCTAAACTGGATTATATGCACAGGTCTTGGGGTGAGCATTCTAACACAGGTGGTGGGGTGTCTAACACGGCATAGGCGCAATTTAATCCCTAGTAATTGGTGGTGGTGGTTATATACCCTGGAGTCAGTTCCGACTCATAGAGACCCTGTACAGGGTTTCCGAGGCTGTAAATCTTTACAGCAGCAGAAGGCCTCATCTTTCTCCCATGGAACGGCTGGTAGTTTTGAACTGCTGCTGACTCAGAGGTTAGCAGCCCAGCTCATAACCACTACACTACCAGAGCTCCTTTAACAATTGGTAACCAAACCATTTTCTAAGTAGCCAGTGGTACTGTACCGTAAAGCACTAGACTGCAAGGTCAGTTTCAACTGTAAGGTTGGCGGTTCAAAACTCACTCCTCAGAATCCCTATACAAGGTCACTATGTGTCACTGTTGTTGCCACTTAACAACAAGTAGAATGTGGATTCTTCCACAGAGTACAAACAAGACTCTTCTTATCTCCATAGAGTACTATGAAATGCCTACTTGTTTCATTTAAAAAGTAGGTACTGCCAGCAGATCAAATCGCATGTGCCTATTTTTATTCTAAATTACAATGTTGCTTTTAGGTGCCATCAAGTTGGTTCCAACTCGGAGCCACCCATATACGCGGCAGAACAAGTCCCTGCCTGGCCCTGGACTGTCCTCATACTGTGGCTGGGTGTGAGTCCATGTTACAGCCACTGTGCCAGTCTGTGTCCTGGAGGGTCTTCCTTTTCACCGACCCTCCACTGTACCGAGCACTCTGTCCTTTTCCAGGGACTGGTCCCTCTTGATAACATATCCAAAGTACATGAGGCCAAGTCTTCCCTTCCTTGCTTTTAAGAATTATTCTGGTTGTACTTCTTCCAAGATGGATTGGTTCTTTTGGCCGTTCATGGTACTTTCAATATTCTCCTCCAACACCATAACTCAAATGCATAAATTCTTATACAGTCTCCCTTATCCACTTGTCAACTTTGACATGCCTATGAGGTGATTGAAAAATACGAAGGCTTGGGTCAGGCGCCCAGTAGTCCTCAGACTGCTGTCTTGGCTCTTGAACGGTGCAGTATGTTGTCATTTGATTTCCTGCCTACTGCTTCCATGATTATTGATCCTGAATCCACGTAAATGAAACGCTGACTGCTTCAGTCTCTACCAGAACTGCCCTGTTCCCTTGGTCTGCAGGACCAGCTCTGCCATAAGAAAGCTTCTGTGTGTTTGTGGCCTGCTTTTGCACTCTTGTCTATGCTCTTGTTATACTGATGATGCTGTGCCGATGGCACTACCTCCCCTGCCCTGCTCAGGAGGTACACAAAGCAGGCTTCTTTTCTTTTTTTAAGTTTTATTGTGAATTATGTGATAGTTTACATGGGAGAACATTAGTTTTACATTCATCCTATCGTATATTCTTTCATTCAGGGACCTCCGCTCCTAGCCTACAAAGCAGGTTTCTTGCAGTGTGGGTGTGCTGTGGGACATCGGTGTTGCAAGTGAGGAAGGTGGATCAGCATGACCCCAAAACGCTGAACTTGTGAGACGTTCCCTTAGTTGCCAAGTGGCCACCGCGTATGTTGTCATGTAGGGCACTTGTCCTGCTTAGTGGTGATCCCAGAGGAAAGGCATCTATACTGAAATACAAGAGGGACTCAGTATGTCGTAGCAGCTCTGACTATTTCTGGGCAGTGAATCAAGATGAGAGCGCACTTCTGACTGAGTCCACAGGCAGGCAGACTGTTCTGTGACATCAACCCCTCGCGTTCTTTTCTACCTTGTCTTTGGACTGGACTCTTTGGCATTGGAAGGCCATCTGATTGCTGTGTGGTTATAATGAGTAAGTGGTTTACTTGAGATGCTGATTTTGAAGTCCTTGTGTTCTACAGAGGTACTTGGTCCTCCACACCCACTGTTTGTCCAGGAACTCTTGGGGCCTTACTCCAACACTGGTACCTGGTCTCCTCTGCACCCAGCGTTTGTCCAGGAATTCTTGGGACCTCACCCCAGCAGTGGCATTAGCACTCATGGCTAGTCATGCTTCATCCCTGCTCTTACCTTCTATTCTTCAGAACCCTCCATCCCAGAATTGTCTCCGTCTCTTATGCTTTTCCTAGAGAGAACATTACTGGGTGGCTGAGAGTGATAATCACATTTTAGATGCATTAGGTATTGAGTTTATAGTGGGACTCTTTAACTCATCTGTTCAATAAACATGAGTTGAACAGTTAGTGTTAAAGGCACTGTGTAGGTTCTGAAGATGTACTAATGATGAACTTAGCTTTGCTCTCGGTTCTGTGAAGTGCCCAAAGTCTAACTGGAGAACATGCCACTCACCACCCGACAAGTTGCTCCTGTCCTCAGTGCTCTGCAGGAAAGCGCAGGTTGATGTATGTGATGAGGACGTGGAGGCCTCTCCCTGTCTTGGGAGCCTGGTAAAGGGCCTGAGATATGACTAGGCATGCCTTTGTGGAAGTGTCAGTATCTCAGCCAGTGAAGCGACTCAGCACATGTGCTGAAGAGCCTGATGCAAAAGAAGACAACGGCCACTGTAAAGTCATCAGTGGTGGGGAGAGGGACTTGGAATGAGGCTGCAGAAGTGGGAAGTAATGTGCTTGGATGGGTTTTTAAGATAACTCCACTTTATTGTCGAGAATGAATTTGAGGGGTCAGGAGTAGATGTGCAGATAGGGTTCAGGGGCTGTTCCGTGCCTCAGGTGAGCAGCAATGGGGACAGTCCAGCTGGGAATGAGACAGTGAAGATGTGAGAAGTAGACGGGTCACAGAGAGACTTAGGGAGGTGAGGCGTGCTCGGGGCTTGAGCAGGCAGTCGGTTCAGAGTGCTGGCAGATACCATGGGAGACTTTGCTTTGCAGGGAATGTGTTTGGGGTGGTGAGAGGTCTTTCGCGTTCTTGGTTGCAGCGGCTTGACTGTCATGTCCCTCCCTGCTTAGATACTGCACCACCATATTGCCTCGGTGGAGAAACTTGCGCTGACGACGTCTGGATGCCCACTTGTGATTCAGTGCAAGAATTTCAGGACGGTGCACTTCATCGTCCCCAGGGAGAGAGACTGCCACGACATTTACAACTCTCTGCTCCAGCTGTCCAGACAAGGTAATGTTCCCCGAGACCAATGCTCACGTGTTCCATTTTGAAATGGGTGAGCCCAGATAGGCCATTTGATGTCTTCTGATTGTGGTTTTATACTCTAAATCACTCCTACAGCCAGGCATCTGTGACAAAGCACAAGGCCTAGACATAGCCCAAAGCTGTTGGTTCTCTCTTGTGGGGATGGTGTAAGTGAGGTGTTTTAAGGTCCAGACTTGGGAAGACCAGACCACCCCCTGCCGTTGAGCTCATGCTGACTCACAGCGGCTTGGCGATCCACTGAGGGCTCATGGGGCTGTAACTCTGTCTGAGAGCCGACAGTCTCCTCTTTCTCCTGTGGAGGCTTTCTCCTGGTGGCTTCAGACTGCAGACCTTTTTGGTTTTCAGCCCAGCACTTAACCCACAGTGCCACCAGGGCTCCACAGACTTAGGAAACCGTCTATTTAGATTCATGCTTTCCAAACGTGTTGATAGACAGTAGCAGGCCTTTTTTTAGAAGTGTATGTTCCACCAAAGCCTTCATTGATTCTGACTCATAACAACCCTTTTTAGGGTTTCTGAGGTTGTAAACCTGTACGGGGATAGAAAGCCTCATTTTTCTATCGAGAAGCAGCTGATGGGTTTGAACTGTAGACCTTGAGGTTACAATCCAGCTCTTACTGTGCGGCGCCCCCAGGACGCCTCTCTATTCCACAACCAACGGGAATAGCTTAAAAATTGACATGGCTGAATGCCAAGTTCAGGAAAGTTAATAAGAGTTCTCTGACAGCGGTCAGGCTAACATAGGACTGATGAAGTGTTTAATGTATGGGCCTGCTCACCGAGAGGCATGTGAATCCCCCGGAGGTGCCTCAGAAGAAAAGCCTGGTGATCTGCGTACACAAAACCTGCCACTGCCAACTCTCTGGAGCGTAGTTCTGCTCCGTCACACAGGAGGTCGCTGTGAATCCCAGTCAACTAGATGACCGTTGATTTAGGATTGAGAGGCGAGAAGTAAGGCTTGGTAAAATGGAGGATTAGCGAAAGCGAGGAGACCCCAAAGAAAAGGAAGGGCCCCATGGCAGCAGCAGTGGGCTCGAGTTAGCAGTAATGATGGTAAGCATGGCCCAGGACCAGGCAGTGTTTTGTTCGGTGGCCCATAGGGTTGCTCTGGGTCAGAACAGACTCAATGGCACCTCACAACAACAGCAACAAGGCCCTGAAGAGGAATCTGTCACTCTGCGTATGACCTAGGGCTCTGAGGACCTCTTTCCCTCCACAGGACAGAATTTCCTCCTCCTCTTACGGAGACAAAGCAGACTGTTGCTGAGTGTTACAGAACCTTTTTTGTTCAGTACACTGGGGTTGTACCCTGTACGATTGATCATACCCTGTACGATTGATCAGGGAGCAGGTCTGGATGCACCTTTCTCTCCTCACATACAAGGGGACTTCAAAAAGTCCATGGAAAAACTCCATTATCTTTTCATACTCCGTTTTTTTCCATGCACTGTTGGAAGCCTCCTCATATATCTCATCGCCGCCCAAAGATGGTAAAGATTGAGTAAAGATGGTTCTGTGACTTGGAGGACTTAGCCTTGCTCAAAGTAACATTTCTCTCTCCTGCGCTCTGTGCACCCTCGTTGGTTTGAGCCTGCAGTGCCCTGGTGTGCGCTGTCCTGTCTGATGCAATTTCCTGTTCTTTGGCCCTCTCTGCTTTTTCTTGACAGCATTTCTCTCGTCTTTCACATCACATTTGGGACAAGTGGTGAGTGCAAAGGAAGTGTCTTTTGTTTTTCATATTTGATGTTTAAGAAAGGAAACACTGCAGTAGAGAAGTGAACACAAGCCAGGTGGGAGTCTGTAGCTTGCCTTTTGACGACTTAAATTGAATCTCAGAGCGATGTTTGTATCTTTAGTTGTTTGCATCAGAGAACTGAGTAAGTATTAGGTCCAAGTACGTTCAGATCTTAGCCATCTCTTTGCAGATTTTAAAGAAGAAATGGGGATGAAACCAAAAACTTCACCTTATTACTGCAGTCCAGTAATGTATTATATCCTGTAAGTTATATATCAGTATACACGTGTTTTATATTCCATAGCCAAATATGAAGATCTATATGCATTTTCTTATAATCCCAAACAAAATGATTCGGAACGACTACGTGGTTGGCAGCTTATTAACCTGGCGGAGGAATATAAGAGGATGGGAGTGCCAAATTCACACTGGCAGCTGTCCGACGCAAACCGAGAATACAAGGTAATGGCGTACACAGGTGTGTGCTGGGAGTCCAACCAGTACAGCGGCCACGTGTCTGAATATGACTGTGGCATTTCTTGTACTGAGAGAAGTTTGAAAGTTTTTTCAGCTTGTGATTTGGCACTGTAAGTAGAATGCTTAGATGTCGTTTGATATTTACAGATCTGCGAGACATACCCCCGAGAACTGTATGTTCCCCAAACAGCAAGCAAACCGATAATTGTTGGGAGCTCCAAGTTCCGAAGCAAGGGGCGATTCCCAGTGCTTTCCTACTACCACCAGGAGAAGGAGGTAGGGATTTCCTTAAATCATAAACGTGGTTGTTGCTGTTAAGTGCTATCGAGTTGGTTCTGATCCATAGCGACCCTGTATAGGGTTTCCAGGGAACGGCTGAGAAGTTTGAACCTCCACCTCGTGGTTCAGACCGAGCTTGTGGTCCAGTACTTTATCCCTCAGCTCTACACCAGGACTCCATAAATGTGGTAGTCTCACTCTTAGCCTCCAAAAGAACACTGATTTTTATGTTGTTGTGGTTAAGTGCGTTGAGTCAGTTCTCACTGACTCCTAGTGACCTTGTTTGTATAGGGTTTCTGAGGAGCGGCTGGTAGATCTGAACCGCCGACCTTGCAGTTCAAACAGATCTTGGGATCCATTGCTCATCACCCTGCAGCGCCCCATCAGGAGTTTTACCTTAGAAGTGTGTTAGATAATGTTGCCTAATAGGAAACCCCGCTGCTCCTCGGAAACCCTATACTGGGTCACTGTGAGTCAGAACCGACTCCATGACACTTCACAACAACAGTAGGGAAATGCTGGCTTTTCACTTCATTACAGACTTCATTTGAAGTCTGAGTGTTTCGTTCTGTTGTGCACAGGCTTGCTGTGAGTCAGAACCGACTTGATAGCACCTAACAGCTCTGAAATAACAGAAACTTCGTATTTTCTTGTCATGTTCCTGTCTTCTTTGTCTTCCTTCTTTCCTTCTAGTAGAGATTTGAAAATAAAGGGTTTGAGTTTGCTTTTCTTGCCTTGGCTTTGGTCCTGCTTGTATTAGGGGAAACCTGAGAGTTTGAGAAGCCAGCCATGGAGAACAGAGAAGGAATCTAGGGTATTTTCAGGTGCCAGGTTAGCACTTGTTTGTGTTAAAGCCTTTCCAGTTGAGTTTTCACTTACAGCACCCACAGACGACAGAGTAGCCCCGTCCCTGGGTCCTAACAGGAGCAGATTGCTGGGTCTCTCTCCTATCCGGTAGGCAGCTCTTCAAATTCCAGAGGTGTTTGCGTTGTGAAGAAGTGGCGGAAGTGTTTCTGTTTTGAGCTTCTTCCACTGAGATTGCTCATGACAAGCCTCAGAAATGTTATCTTTGTGGCCTACTGACACAGTCTTCCTAATAACCTCATGGGGCAGATGCTCATTACCTCTAGCTTTCCAGCGGAAAGAGGTTAAAAGAGAGGCTATCATTTCCCTGTGTCCCCAGCTCGGGAGTTGAGGTGTTGATGTCATTTCTAACTCGCAGTTCTCTGTGGATGGCCCGGTTCTGGACCTTTGGAAGCTGTTACATTCTTAGTTCTCCCCGGCATTCTGAAAATTCACCGTGATGTGGCTTTGTCTGTCTTTGAATTTTGTTTGGAAACTCGGGTCTCTTGGTTTGAGGAAGTGATTTCTCTGTTTGCTTGGTAGCTTTCTCTCTTCTGTTAGTTTTCCTGTAACTGCCTTTTTTGACCTTCTCTCCTGTTTTCTCTTTTTCTGTGTCCTGGAAGATATTGTCAACTTTCTTGTTTCGTTTCCTGGATCCGTTATTTCTGGTCTGCCAAGAGAAGATACTGTGAATGTTTTCAGTCTGTTGTGTGTATTTCTGCAGCAGTGGGTCTAAACCAGGGCTTTCCCAGAGTGGCACTACTGATGCTTTGGACCACATAATCCCAAGTTGGGGTGTGTGGGGGCTTTCATTGGCCACTCACTGTACGATGCTTATCAGCATCCTTGACTTCCCCAGTCCCTAGTTGTGAGAACCAAAATGTCTCTAAACATAGTCTACCATCCTCAGGGTAGAGGGGCATGAGTGTGAGAGGGGCCAAAATTGCCCCAGTGGAGAACCACTGGTCTAAACTAAATTTGGGTTATTCAGAAACTTGCCTTGTATCAAATTTGCACCCCCCTACTACTACTTATGGATGTAATTAAGGTGAAATTCACAAAGCATACAATGAGCCTTTTTGAAATAAACAATTTAGGGGCAGTTTTTACATTCACAGCGTTGTGCAGCCACCATCTCTGGCAGTTTCTGAAGGTTTCATCACAGAAAATAAACCTGGTGACTGTTACGGAGTCCTGGTGTGGCACTGTGGGATAAGCACTGGACTGCAGGGTTGGCGGTTCAAACTCACCAACAGCTCCTTGGAAACCCTATACAGGGTTGCTGTGAGATGGAGCTCAGTGGCACTTCACAACAGCAACCTGTTAAGCAGGTGCTCCCACCACCCCAGCCCTGCCTGCCCCTAGCCCCTGGCATCCACCACAGTGAGTTCTGTCTGTAGATTCCGTTTGTATGCTGCTGTTTGCTGTTAAGTGCCATCAAGTCAGTTCTGGCTTATAGCAACCCCTGTGGACTGTATCCAAGGATTAGCTAGTTGGTTCGAACCACCAACCTTGCAGTTAGTAGTCTAGTGCTTATTGAAATGCAATCATATATTTTATGACCATTTATGTTTGGCTTCTTACCATGTAATCAGCGCTTTATTCCTCTTTATGGTTGGACAGTATTGCAGTACGTGTATGTATATATATACCCCATTTGTTTATCCATTCATCCATTAATAGACATTTAGTCTGTTTCTTTATATATATCCTCGCCCTCATGGGTTGACCATATTTCAATCCAAATTTGTGGGAAGCTCATTTCTCTCATTATATGCCTCATTTTATATAGAAATTGCTGACTTCTAGGTCTCAATAATGCCAGTTAGAGATCTCAAACAACAGCTCTGGCGTGTGGGTTTGGGCACAGTTGGTTGGCCCTGGACTGCCAACTGAAAGGTTGGTAGTTAAGGTTTAGGCCCACGCAGTGGGGCTGTGGAAGAAGAACCTGGTGATCTGCATTGTAGAGATCCCAACTGGAACCCTTAGGGAGCTTGGCATCACCCTGAGTAGGAATCGACCCAAGGGCAGTGGGTTTGGCTTTTTGGTGTAGAGCTCTGAGCATTTGGAAGGTAAACGTTTAACTGTTGTTATTTTTAAAGTCCGGTTTGACTGTATTGACTAATCTCTTGCATGAACTTGTATTGACAATACCCTGTAATCTAAATGGATCACAGAACACTTGCTTCGCAACAGCAGGTTACTTGTCACGCATCAACCAGTCAGTATTCTTTCACTGAACTGGAAAGTGGGTATTTAGGTCTCCTCCAATAAGGAAGGGGGGTAATGAAATATTATAAGTGAATGCCCCCAGCCCTCTTGTAACTTTCACACAGATTGCGTATTAGATTTTAACATTTCCTCTGTTTATAAGCTAATGGAACGCTGGTGGTACAGTGATTTAAATGTTGGGCTTCTAAAGTTCAAGTCCCCCCAGCCTCTCCAGCCGAGGGTTAAGAGCCCAGAAACGCTGTGGGGCAGCTCTGCTCTGTCCTGTGGACTTGCTGTGAGTCAGGATGACTTGAACGCTGTGGGTTTGGTTTTGCTTACAAGCATTTTTGAGACATGTTTTCACGTTCTTTGGATGATCTGTTTCCTGTCTTTGAAAAATTAGGCTGCCGTTTGTCGGTGTAGCCAGCCGCTGTCCGGCTTCAGTGCCAGGTGCCTGGAGGATGAGCATTTGCTTCAAGCCATCAGTAAAGCTAACCCGGTCAACCGCTACATGTATGTCATGGACACCAGGCCCAAGGTAGGTGTCCGCGCAGTTCCCTCGGACCTGTCACATGGGTCAGATTAACCAAGACTGATGCCATTGAGGAAATGATTGTAGTTATTAGAATTCTTGATGGAGATGTATTGCTATTCATAACATTCTCTCTAGCTGACAAAATGTGTTATTCTGGTCAACAAACCCTTGTCGCAAATACAGAATTTTTCCCAGTTTAGAAACTGGCTTAGTGTAGCTGAGGGGGCTTCCCAAAGTGTGTGGGAACATTCCAGTATTTTTTCATTGCACTGTGGAAGTCCCTGGTAGACTGTGCATTACCTAAGCCCACCAGTGAGCCTGGCTTCACGGTCTTCAGTCAGACGGCCACACTCAGAATTCCCACACAGGGGTAATTTTACTTAAGTTCAAACTCAGAACAGCTTCCTGTTATGTAGGACTGCTACAAGAGGTGTAAATCACACTAAGAAAAGGGTTTTGGGTCTTAGAAATTTGTAGCTTTGTTTTGGCTTGCAGACAGTAAAATGTCACCTTCTGTGAGTTTTGACAGACACATAGAGTCATGTAACTACCTCATTAAGGATCTAGAACAGTGCCATCACCCCCGAAACCTCGCCTTGTGCCTCTCCTCCCAAACCTGTCATCTACCCCTATACTGTGATTTCCCTTGGCCCAGTTGCCCTACAGATAGATCATATAGCAGGTCGTCTTTGAGTTCGGTGCTCTGACTTATGCAGTTTGTTTGAGATGTGTTGTGTGTACCAGTAATGCCTGGGAGATGGAGACTCTATGAAAGAATCTAATGAAAGTTCTAGAGGTGAGAAGTGTCCTAACCAGGCTTATGCATAGTAGCCTGACCTCGCTGAGGAAATAATAAGGCCAAGGAAGACGACTCGGCTGAAACACCAAGGGAAAAAAGAGTCAAAACAAAACCAAATACCCGAGAGCTGGGGGACCAGGTCAGAGTTTAATGTATGTGTTATTCGAGTCCGAGAAGGAGAGAGAGATGTTCAAAGAGATAGTTACCAAGTATTTTCCCAAACCTCAGATCCCTAGAAGCAGAGAGAACCAACACACAGTAGGAGTAAAATATTTCAAAGTGTGGTAAGTCAAAGATAAAGAGAACACCTCAGAAGCAGTCAGGGAAAGGAGGAACTGATGACCTACAGAACAACAAAGAGACGGCAGGCAGTGTGCTCCCATTAAGGGCCTGGGTAGCATAGTGGTTACGCATTGGGCTGCTAACCTCAGGGTCAGCAGTTCGAACCTACCAGTTGTCCTGCAGGAGAAAGATGAGGCTTTCTGCTCCCGTAGTTGCTATGAGTTGGAACCGACTCCACGGCACGTAACCACCACCACCATGCTTCCATTAGAATCTATAGAGAGAATAATGAGGTCGTGAGGACTCGTCCCTCTTCACAAAGATAATTCTTCTCTAGTCACTTGTTTGCACTCTTGTCTGTTTCTTAGAGGTGTTGAGAACCTCAGAGATTCAAGTGACCCATTGGGTACGTCTGCTCATACACTGAAGCAAACTGCCCACGTTGGTCATTTGAAGGACAGCGATTTAGATAGAAAACATGAGGGGCTCGTGGGGCCAACCTCTTAGGTCTTCGTGTACATATGAGCTTAGGAAAGCTGAGCTCTTGATGATATGAGGGGTTTTCAAAAAGTCTGTGGAAATATTCCATTATCTTTTAAGTCCATTTATCCATGAACTTTTTTTTTTTCATCCATGAACTTTTTGAAGCCCCCTTTATGTGTGTCTTAGGAAGAAATATTAAGTAGTGAGTATGTTGTGAAAAATTAGTGTGTATCCTTTTTCTTTACAGCATTTTGAATTGACACCATACTTTGCATTAAAATAATAGCCCTTAATTAGAAATACTCAAGGAAACCATCAGTACAGATAGTTGAGGGAGGAAATACTGAGCTTGCGGATGATAAATCCTGGGCTGTTCTGTTAGACATCTGTAGCGTCAGGATCCGTTTTTGTCATCAGGACAAATGTCAGAATCCCTTTTTCTGTTTTATAAACACAGTTAAACAGTCAGTTCACTTAGGACCTTGAACCTAAACGAGCTAAAACCTCAATGACAGCAGCTAACGTTACTTTTAATTTTTGTTATAGCACCGCATGCAGAGCTGGTGGGAAACACAAAAGGACATTGGCAGAATTATAGTGCTGCTGTCCTCACAAATCTGGAACGATGAGAAAATCAGAGAGAGCAATGAGAGAAAGCGAGTGAGCAGTTCAGAACCTGCACTCCTGTAGGCAGCGTGCTGACAGGACGGGTAGCCCTTCTAGACCTAATTCCCACCAGGGTGCTCTCTCACGTGACCAAAGACAATGGCGGGAACAGATGAATTTCAGCGAATTAGAAGTATTTACAAATTAGAAAGGGTGTCTGTGTATTTGACATTCATTAAATCTGAAAAGACTTGCTTGGGCATTAAAAGTGTTGGTCACATGTCCTGTAAGAACCGCCTTTGCTTTCCTTTTCTGAATAACCAGGGTGGATTACTTAGAACTATTTTTAGGTAGTAGTAGTTATATAGGTTATTATAATACACAGCTTTCTGACGATGAGGTTTGAAGGAAATTTTTTTTGTATAATTTTCCTCAACGCACAAAGTAGGCTTTTCTGTGACTGTGTAATAGTCAAGCTTAACATCATGTTGTAATCATGTGGGAAAGGAGCCCTGGTAGTGCAGTGTTTAAAGCAGCTTGGCTGCTAGCCAGAAGGTTGGCAGTTTGAGCTCACTGGTTTCTGCTGATGGGCTAGCTCTCTGTCCTCTAGGCCCCTGTGAGTAGGATAGCTGGATCCTACAGGACAGCAGTGAGTGTGGGGTTTTTGTTTTCCTATCCCTCATCCTCTAGGAGCATTTTAAATATGTAATTCGAAATTTCATGGTGATATCAGTTGTGCTGTTGTTGTGATGTGCCGTGGAGTCGGTTCCGACTCATAGTGACCCTGTACAGGGTTTCCAAGGCTGTAAATCTTTACGGGAGCAGAAAGCCTCATCTTTCTCCCGCGGAACAGCTGGTAGTTTCGAACTGCTGACGCTATCAGGTGTGCTGTAGGTATAGCTTAAAAGTACGTGTTACCAGCCTGGGGCCCTGATCTTTCAATTTGGGTTCTAGTCAAGGTCACAAGCATGTCTAGGAAATGGCAAGGGTGAAACCTGTGATTTGCAAAACGCCCTGTTTTCCCAGGTCTCCCAGGGTTTCTTCCTTTGACAGACTGCGGTAAGTGGCACGTGTTGGAGTCTTTCCTTCTCCAACAGGGGCTGACGTTTGCCAGCTTGCCTCTCCTCCGTATGCAATCCTGTTTTGAGAGAATTGAAGGCACCAAAGCCTGAGTGAGCCTCTGCCCTCTGGGCCTCCAGGTGGATGCAGCCCTGCACTGCACTGAGAAGCCAGTTCAGCGCTGGCTCTGTTTCTGGATACCCACCAGGAGAGTGCGTATGCGGCCCCCTTTACTCTGTGGGCCTGAAGTACTTTCTCCAGTCGTCTGAGGCAGATTCCAGGGTCCCTGATGCGTTCAGAAAAGGAGGCTGGAGTGGCACAGCTGTTTAGTGCTTGGTTGCTAACTGAAAGGTCAGCGGTTTCAATCCACCAGGCCCTCCACGGGAAAAGATGGGGCAGTGGTTACGAATCAGGCTGCGTACCTTAAGGTCAGCAGTTCAAAACTACCAGCTGTTCCATGGGAGAAAGATGAGGCTTTCGGTTCCTGTAAAGATTTACAGCCTCGGAAACCTTATACAGGGTCGCTGTGAGTCGGAACTGACTCCATGGCACAGGACCACCACCCACCACCACCACCACTTCCATAAAGATTTGTAGTCTAAGACACCCTATTAGCAGTTCTCCTCTGTCCTGTAGGATCGCTCCAAATGGGAATCAAAACTCAAAGCAGTGGGGTTTGGGGTTTTTTTTGCTTCATTTTTGTTTGGATGGTGGCTTTTTTAATGATCTAGCGCTTCAAGCTTGTTCTGAAGCGAATCTCACAGGTTGAGTCTGCAAAAGTAAAGCTGCTCACATCTGCTCATCTCTGTGTCCTTTCGGATTTAGAGAGATTACAATTGTGAGAGATTACAAACATATGGCAAACAGGCTATTAGCATAAATGAACTAGCCTCATGAACTATTTGTGGGGAGGTTCCTGTCTGGACCTTTCCATTTTGTGGTAAATCATGTGTGACATTTTTAACTTATTAAAACCAGTAGTTTATTCTGTCTTGACGAGTTCCTTTTTGTTGTCTGCTAAGCGATTGGTATATTGAGTGCTTCCACAACACACGTTAGAAGTTAAGGTCAAAGGTTAGAAGTCATTTGCTTCTGAATTTCTGCTCTCTTCTGTTTTAGCTCAATGCTATGGCTAACCGAGCAGCGGGGAAAGGCTACGAGAATGAGGATAACTATGCTAACATTCGCTTTCAGTTTGTGGGCATTGAAAATATCCATGTCATGAGGTCCAGTCTGCAGAAACTACTGGAAGGTATGGTTTCTGCTCTTATCTTCGAAGTCCCTTTGTCCAGTGGAAATTGAATATGTAACTGCACAACATTCTGGTAGTTTACCTCCCAAATGTAAACAGCAACACGTCACATTAGGCTAGGTTCTCTAGAGAAGGGAAACCAGTGAAACTTGTGTGTTTATATATTGATATAAAGAGACGTTTATGTCAAGGAAATAGCTCATAATTATAGAGGTGGGAGAGTCCCAAGTCTGGGCCAGATGAACCAAGAGCCACAGGCAAGCAGGCGGACCGGCAAGCAGCAAACAGGTGGGCAGACAGGTAGGTAGGTGATAAAGCAGGCCACTGGCTCAAATCCAGAGAACCTGAGGTTGGAGGACGAGCCAGATGCAACATCCAGGCCCAGCAGAAAGCAAATAAACTTCGCCTGAGTGTCGGTTCTATTGGAAGCAGACCACACCCCTGAGGAAGCATCCTTTCAGTTGATTGGCTGCTCAGAACCAGTCATCATAGAGTTAGTCTTCTCAGAGGTGACAACACTGTGTTAGAGCTCACCGTGGAATAACCACATCTGAACTGGGCATCCTGGCCCAGTCAAGTTGACCCAAAACTCTCACAAGGGGCTTCAAAAAGTCTGAGGAAAAATGAAATGAGAAGACCATGGAATTTTTCCATGAACTTTTTTGAAGCCCCCTGTGTATTTCTTTGTCCTTCAAACAAAATCATCTTTCAACAGGTAGTTAATTTGTTTTTAAAGAGGAGTAATAATCTATTCTTTTTAAAGAAATCCAGTGTGTGTTACATCCCAGAACATCTCATTGTGGTCTGGCTATGTTTCTATGTGGGCTAGCTGCATGTGGGGTGGTCGTGTGGACGGTATTGTTGGACAGATACTGCTGCATGTGGGTGGTGGTCACTGGAATACTTTTAGCTAAATACTTGTGATACTAGTGTTTTTATTTTTAGGAGAGTAGAGTATTTGAACACAGGAAATGACAGGAAAAACCTACAAAAACAATCCTTTGTTGAGCTTCTCGAGCATCTTTTCATTTATCCAGTCTGGTTTACCTGTTCCTTCCCCTCCCTTCTCATGGGCTCACCTGGAGACTCGCTGAGCAGGAGCCGTGGAAACTGCCTCACTTCTAATGAGCATCTCCTGCTTCTTTCAGTCACTGGTACCAAAGGGCTGTCTGTCCAGGACTTCTACTCCGGCATGGAAAGCTCCGGATGGCCCCGCCACATCAAAGCTGTCATGGACGCCGCCATCTTCTTAGCCAAGGTAACCCTGTTAGAGACGGGGTTGGGTCTGGGCTTTATAGTGTTTAGAAAGGAATGGATGGCCCAGTCAAGGGAACTGTCCTCAGCTCTCGCCCTGTAACGCAGCTCACTTGAACTGGAGAGCTGTAAGTCATCATGTGGCACTTAATGCCGAAGTGTATGTGGAACAGGATTTTCGTCTTTCTTCATGTGTTTTCTGTTTGCTCTGTGTTTGTGTTGTGTTGTTTTGTATTTGGGACGCCTCAGTGTGACGAGAGAGCCTGTTCAGTTGTGGCTCTTTGTTACCATAGAGAACCGAGTGGGGAGGACCAGCCCGTCTCCAGTTCTTCCTTTCCCACTTGTCCCCATGGCACATCCCCTGTTTGACCCCGCCTCCCAGAGCAAGGCCGTAGCCCCATGTGACCAGGTGCCCCTGGTTTGGGCTGGTGTCCCACTACCCGTTCATGCGAGCAGCTTCAAGCTCAGAAGTTCACACAGCACCCTTACTTCTTGGCCGGCTAGCCCCACTGGAACCAGATGTAGGTCTACAGATAAAGCATACAAATGAAGAGACATGTGGAGCGAGGCCTGAGAGTTCCCAGTGTGGCGCTTCCTTGTCCCAATGGGCACAGGACCCTCTAAGATTAGATGTTCTCGTCTACCAGGAAGCCTTCTGAGCCTTCATGTTCTGGACTTCTATTGGCCTGTCCAGCATGATGAGCTAAGTCATGCCTCCTGAGGCTACGTGATATTAACCTCCCGGGAGAGTTTTTTTAGCCTGGTCATTCCCTATTCATCAGCATACATCTTTAGGTGTGGCCTAGAAGTCCCAGAATAAGACACCCCCGTTACTCTAAGGTTCCAAGGACAAAGGGCACCTTACTCAGGGTCAAAGCAAGTTCTTGGTTTTACCCTTTGCCTACTAATATCCAAACCAGAAGGTGCCCTGGTGCCATCGTGAGTTCATTGCTGGGATGCTAATCGAAGGATGCACGTTAAAACACACCAGTGGCTCTGCAGGAGAAAGATGTACGGCTTCGGAAACCCCCGGGGACGGGTTCTGCTCTCTCCTGTAGGGTCACTGTGAGTCACAGTGACTCCATGGTGGGGACTTGGGGTTATCCAATCCTAAACCCAACCCACTGCCATTGAGTCCGTTCAACTCATAGTGACCCCGTATAGGACATCTTCCTTCTACCGAGTTCAGCCCCCCAATCTTTTGGTTAGCAGCTGAGTGCTTCACCACTGTGCCACCGGAACTCCACAGAGCTCTAGTTTGGAGTGAAAGAATCTGCTGGAATGCACAGTTGGGCTCTTTCTTTTCAGGCCGTAGGGGTTGAAAGTGCGAGTGTCCTGGTGCACTGCTCTGATGGCTGGGACAGGACTTCCCAGGTGTGTTCACTTGGCTCTCTGCTGCTGGACTCCTACTACAGGACCATCAAGGGGTTCATGGTAAGTGTTGGCTTGGCTTGACCAAAACAAGCTCAGTGCTGTCAGATTGATGCCGACAGGCCGAGACTCTGAGGACAGAGAACTGCTCCACGCGGCTCTGAAGACGGAAGTCTTTACGGGAGCAGACCACCTCATCACTCTCCAAGGCAGAGCTGGTGGATTTGAACCCTTGTAGTTAGCAGGAAAGAGCTTAACTCCCAGAGCCACCAGGGCTCCTTGTAGGCTAGATCAAAACCTAAGCCTGCTGCCATCCAGTCGATTGTAAGCCTAATTTATAGGGTTTCCAAATTGTAACTCTTTACAGTGCTGATGGCCTCATTTTTCTCCCGCTGAGCGACTTCTGTTCATGATGCCTGACCCACAGAGCCACCAGGGCTCCTTTCAGCTAGATGAGTGGCTCTCAGGTACCGCTCTACCCTCACCACTGTGCTGTCCCGTAGATGAATAGAGAATGAGTAGGCTGGCTAAACATTTTTGGTTGTCACAAGTGTGCTGGATCTCACTGATAAGGCTGGGAATGTGCCTGTTCATGTCCTCTACTGCGGCCCCCCCCTCCCCCGCCATGTACACGTCCTATACTGCACTGGACAGCCCCCCTCCACCATGTACACATCCTATACTGCACTGAACAGCCTCCCTCCACACCAGGACGTGACCCCCACACACAGACCACCATATACACATCCTGTCCTGTACGGGACACCTCCCCTCCACACCAGTATATGACCGTACACACCACACACATACTCAGGTCCTCTAGTACGCGGGGCAACCTGTTTTGAATGTGACCCACCTAAAAATGTCAGAGGTGCTGAAGTTGAGAAGCTGTGGATCCGATGTAAAGTTTTGGGTTACGTGTCTGAAACATTAAACCCAGAAATACTGGGCGTGTTGTATCATTTTTTTCTAAGACACAGATGTGACACAGATACACATCCTTAAAGTTGTACCGTGGAGGGCCCTTTCTATCTACAGCCCCTAAATCTCTTAGGGGTGATGTCAGGAACCCTGTTTCCTATCTCAAGATGCCATTTCTAGCTGAGCAGATTTTCAGATTTGTAATGGTGCGTTGTGTTTGTGACGTGCTATCAGATTAATTTGTGTTTGCAAAACTGGCCATCGCACCTCATGGTGAGTAGCGGAGATGAAGAGGTGTTAGGGAGCTTTCTGGAATGACTAGTTATAGTGGGATTCTAAAGCAAGGGAGGTTCTGCAGCCACCAAGCCCCCTCTAGTGTCCTCGTTGTGTTGTGTTAACATTTTGAGCATCGAGGTGTGTTATTAAGAAAATGGCCCAACAGAAACCATCGCTTTCCTTGAGAATATACCATAAGAAATTGCTTTCTTTGCCATCTTTGGCCTTAAATGTTTGATAGATGTCCGAATAATTGCTGGAGTGAAATGACGGAATCAAATTTGAGTTCTCAGGAAACGAAAGCATAGCTCCTTCCGATGACTTGGAATCCTTAGTTGTAGAGCCTGGAAGGGGGCTCTAAGGTGCAGAGGGAGGTGTTGAGAAGAGAAGCTGCCAGTCTGGCCTTGGGACATCACCCTTTCGGGGGCCCAAGAAGCCACGGCAGGAACTGGATTAGATCTGCTGTTTAAAACGAAATTTTGGTGTGTTGTGGCAACAGGGGTGTGAGAACAGAGACCATAGAGAAGAGAGGGCCAGCTCTCAGACAGTGTGTCGTGGAAGTGGATAGGGAGGCAGGTGGTCGTTGGTAAGAGCTGGCCTCGGATTGGAGGTGGCAGAGAGGAGCAGTGTCCTCGGATGATTTCCAGACCTTGTCTTGTAGTCACGATTCCTGGCGGGAAAGGTGAGGTGGAGTGGAAGGATAGCTCCAGCCTGGTGACCCTGGGCCACAGTCACACAGATGGTGTGTAAGGGACAGTCAGCTAGGCCCTAATGTGTGGTGCTGTGGGATAAAGCACAGGACTGCAAACCCGGTTTGAACCACAAGGTCAATGGTTCAAACTCACCAGCCACTCCTTGGAAACCCTATTGAGGGTTGCTGTGAGTTAGAACTGACTTGACTACACATAACCAACAATATGTATTAAACACTATGAAAATATGAGGGGGCTTCGGAAAGTTTGTGGAAAAGTGGAATTAGAAGACAGTGACGTTTTCCACAAACTTTTTGAAACCCCTGTGACTGTTTAGCTTATTGTCGTTAAAGTGTTATCCAGTTGGTTCCGACGCATAGTGACCCTGTCTAGGTTTTCGAGGAGCAGCTGGTGGGTTTGAACTGCCGACCCTGCGGTTAGCAGTCCAGTGCTGGTCCCTGGGCACTGCTAGGTGGGTAGAGAAGCTGTGACAGAGAGCCCAGCTAAGGAGGAAGACAGGACGTCCCTGCAGGAGCTTAGATACCAGCATTGGGGCTAGAACATCATAAATGTTCCCGTTTACATCCATCTCAGCTCTCATTTTAATAAATATTGTATATAATTAACGCACAAGTAAGCCAGAGGTTTACAACATCCACTCTAGTCCATCATCAGTGTTAGGGTTACATTTTCCTAGCCTTTTTTCTTGGTTGATTTTATAGTTGTAATTATGTATGCATAAGACTGCTTTTTCACTGAAACTATAATGAATACAATTAAAAGTAATTTAAGTTACTAGACAACTGTTTAGTTCCCAATATCATTTTCACTTTTTAAACCCCACTTTGGATTGTTGTTGTTAAGTGCTGTCGAGTCAGTTCTGACTCACAGCTACCCTGTATGGGGGGTGGGGGGTGGGGGTCCAAGAAGCGGCAGGCAGATGGGTTTGAACCAGAGACCTTGCAGTCCAGGGGATTAACCCACAGCCCCATACCAGGACTCCTGGATTGGCTAGGTCTAATCTCTATTTTTCTCTTGTATCCCAAAAATAAATTAAAAGTACATAATGCTGGGTTTAAGTTTTAAGATATTTATTGTCTGTTCTAAACAGAACATCGAAAGTGGTTTTAAAATGGACTTTTCCTTTTTCTTATTAAGGTTTTAATTGAGAAAGATTGGATCTCCTTTGGGCATAAATTTTCTGAGAGGTAAGTCAAACAGACATGCGTTTATGTATTTTGTAAAATGGGTTAAACCAGCCTCGATTGCCACTGTGACTCCTTCTGCGTGAAGTGGCTCCGTTCTGTGAGTTACTTGAAGTTAGGTCCGCAGAGTCTCTCTCTTTCCTGTGCTGTTTGGTAGCTCCTGTTGTGGCTGCGGTGTAGGATCTAGAAGGTAACAGGTCCTGGAAAGGTGTGGTTGAAACACTCATTGTCAGTTGTTTCCTCCCCCAGACTTGATCCTCAGCCAAACAATAGATGAGTCCAGACAAGGAACAGTCACACTGGGGAGGGTCACACAGGTTAGAAGCATCGACCCTCTGAGATCCAAACGGCAGCGTTAACCCATGGACAAAGCTCAGAAGGGTTAGGAAAGAAGGAGAAATGGAAACAAGGAAACGGGGGTGGGGAGGGGGGAGTGTGATGATGTCACTTTGTGGGGATTGTAATCAAAGATGTGAAACACAATGTGCATGAATTGTTGAAGGGAAAACTGATCTGTTCTGTAAGCCTTCAGCCAGTTCACAATAAACAGTTAAAAAGCCAACAACAAACAAACATTACAGTTGTTTTGTGCTGATGTAACACTGTTGTAAGATTTATATATGTATATTTGTGTGTGTGTGTATGTGCACTTAATAATACCTGAATAATGTACTTGTGCCAAAGGCATATTTAAAAGCTTGTGCTTTTTTGGGCGGTTAGGTGTGGCCATTTGGATGGTGACCCAAAGGAAGCCTCACCAGTGTTTATTCAGTTTTTGGAATGTGTGTGGCATTTGACCGAACAGTTTCCACAAGCCTTTGAATTCAATGAAGCATTTCTTCTTCAGATCCACGACCACATTCATTCATGCCAATTTGGAAACTTCCTTGGAAATTGTCAGAAGGAAAGAGAAGAGCTCAAGTAAGATGGTTCGATTGTAGGGGACTTTGTTTTCAGTCCTACTTCCTTATGGTCTAAGAGAAATCATAGTTATACTTTGAATATCTCAACTGTATGAACTAGAACTGATTTCTATTAGAAAGCTTTTCTTGTCTTTCTTGGTGTGTATATACATGTATACATAACTGTAGTGCACTCTATGTGCATACCTGTAGCACACAGTCAGGAGAAGGGGCTTGGCATTGGTACAGTGCATAGACCTTAATCAGATTTCCAAACTTTCATATCCACTCATTGTGTGTGTGTGTGTGTGTGTAGAACTGTATGCAGTTTTATCCCATGTGTACATTCATGCAATCACCATCACAAAGACTTAGCTAAAGATCTCCATAACGAGCTACCTCATGCTGTCCTTTTATAGTCACACCTATGCCTGGTGTGCTGCTTGGGTTAATACGCTGGACTGCAAAGTCGGTGGGAACTTCAGGGTTGGAAGTTCAAGCTCACCAGCCACTCCTTGGAATCCCTGTACAGAGTCACTATGGGTCAGAACCAACTCGACGGCACTTAACAACAACAACATGCTATAGGATAAGCACTGAACTTCAGACCATAAGGTTGAAGGTTCAAACCCACCAACTGCTCCTTAGAAACTCTGTAAAGGGTCGCTGTGAGTCAGAACCAACTTGACAACACTTAGGAACCACAGTAAGCCCTCTCAGGCGTCCTCGTCTGCGTGTTACGTATTCTCTGGGCATTCCGCAACCTTTCTGGTAATGGCAAGTCTCAGAAAAGCACATACTGGGTCATTCTGAAGTTCAGTTAATCTCAGCAGACTGCCCCGATGACGTAACCAGCACCCAGATCAAGATACGTTCCCAACGTGCTCCAGGCTCTCTCAGGCTCCTGTTAGTCTGTGTTCTAAAATAGTGAAGTCTTTATACCCTTTTGTTATCCAGAAAGTATTTGGTCATGAACTTTAAAGTGTGATAAAAGATGACATCTCTCTTGCTCCTTTTAAGTTCAGGTGGCACCTAAAGCTAGCAGTCACTTCAGGGCAGCTGGTTTGCTGCAGTCGGTTTGTCCCTGCGTCGGGTCTCAGGTGAGCTCGGAGACACTTCCTGACCCGGCTCACCTGCTTTTCTAACCAGTCTTAGTGGATAGCAGTTTGGGGATCAGTTGTGATACAAGGGACATCTGGGGTCCCTATATACATACATATTTCTAATAGAGTCCTGGTGTAGCCCTGTAGGATCAGCACGGGACAGCTAACTACAAGGTTGGCAGTTCAAACCCACCAGCCGCTCCTCGGAGACTCTGTGAGTTGAACCGACCTGACACGTAGCCAACAACAGCAACGACAGTATATAGTTCAGTGGGGTTGATGAGTTTCGATGTTGAACAGTAGGCACTAAAGAGACATAACAGATTCATGAACGTAATTCACCCATTGCCATCAGGTAGATTCTGACTCACGGTGACCCTCTAGGACAGAGGTTTCTGAGACAGTAATGTTGGCAGATGCATATAGCTTCATCTTTCTTGGAGCTGCTGGTGGGTTTGAACCACCGATCTTTCCATTAGCCTCCTGTTGCTTAGCCCATGGAGCCACCAGAATTCCTTTTCCTGAACACAGAGTGACATATTAGAAGCGAAGTCTAGTAGCAGTCTGAAGACAGCCACATCCACTCACTCTTTAAAGAGGATTGTGTGCTAGATGCTTTTCATAATTGGAATCAAAGAAATAAAAGTCTTGGAGGCTGCAAACGAAAGTTGGGGACTACCCTGGAGAGGTAAGAGGCCGTGAGTGGATAGAGTAAGTTGGTGACTGAGCTGAGAGCAGGTGGGAAATGCCAAAGATGCAGAGGGACAGAGTGTGACAGAGAGGAACAAGTCAAGACCAGTCAGACTTCAGCTCTGAGCTAGAGCAGTTTGTCGGTGTTTGTCATCATTTGGAGCAAGTGACTCTTACTGGAGCACAGAGCTATTTTAGGAGAAAATAGTTTCAATTCATGCCAGACAACCTCACAGATGGAAAGACGGAAAGAAGAGCTGCTATTTCCGGGTCGTCTTTTTCTAAGACACTCGTTCTGGCTTCTTTCAGGGGCCCCACCTTGTTTTCCAGTCTGTTCCCCTACCCAGCTTTGCTCTGGAAACCCATGATCTAAAACCACTCTAAACTTTACCCGCTCACTCTTCAATCTGAGCTGTAATAGGCTTTGGAAGAAGCAACAGCAGCTTGGAATAATGTGTTGGTTTTGCCACACTGTCTGGATTGCACCCACTCTCACTTTGATTTGGCCTCCCCTCTGAGACGGGCCAGATACAGGGTTACAGGAACAAGGCCAAAGAGGGAAATCATTCGTTTTGTATTGTACGTGTCGGGGTGCAGTGATTTGAAATTGCTGTCACCGGGACCACACATCTGTGGTTGTGAGAGAAAATGGTGCCTCTGTGTGTTGTGTGTGAGAAGCAAACGTTCATTAGTGACGTGACTGGGAAGACAGGCTTGGTGAGGCTGTGCTGAAAAGCTCTTGTGAAGGGAAGTGAGGGTGGATACTAACAGCTTCTGCACTGGGAGGACCTTTTGTGTTTCTGATTGCCCTGAAGGCTGGTGGAGAAGACTTACTCCCTGTGGCCCTTTCTTTTGGATGACCAGAAGAAGTACCTGAATCCTCTGTACAGCTCGGAATCTCAGGGGCTGGCCGTCTTGGAGCCAAGCACAGTGTCTTTCCAGTTTAAGTAAGTTGGCGTAATGGAAGTACCTATACCTGATTGTTCTCCAGCACAGTTTACTGAAACTCTTCTTGCTGTCCTAAAGGTTTTGGAGAAGCATGTATCACCAATTTGACCGAACTTTGCATCCGAGACAGTCTGTGTTAAACACCATTATGAATATGAATGAGCAGAATAAACAATTAGAGAAGGAGATGAAAGACCTAGAATCGGTAAGTACGCCGATGTGGCTGATTGATTTGGAGGAGGAAACGATTGGGTTGCCCTGAGTCTGATTTACTACCTACCACCAGCCCGTACACTCACCGTGCTTCCAAATCAGGCCTCCTCTCCTTGTTTGAGTCGCTTAGCTGGAGTAACTTTCTCAGAAGAGCTCAAGTCGAGCTTGATTTTTTTTAATAAATGTGAAAACATTTATTTGTAGAAGACTTGGAGAAAATGAGAACTCTCATTCCTCTCATAGTCCTGAATGTGATTTAACTCCATTTTTTTGTTTAGTGGTCATTTTGCGTTGTACACAAAATGTCTGCAAAAGCAAGGTTTATTTTTCCTACTTAACATATATTGACCCTGTGGTGTTATGCCCAGAATTCAGGGTCCCCAAAGACCACCCAGGAGCCGTGTACCGATGCAAATACATAAGGGTTGTTTAATCAATCAAGCTCGAGCCAGGTCTCTAACCTTATCCGACATTTCGGAATAGGGAAAGAGCCCCGAATTCATTGTCTGCAGGGTTTTTATAGAATTTTCAAACAGCTCAGGTTTCTCAGCTTTACAATCTTTGGATTGGTTAACAATTGGCAAACTATGAGATGTTACAGTTTAATTGGTCAGAACTGGTGGTCTTTGTTCTTAGGCTAGGGTAAAGGAAAACATCTGGCCTCTGGCCTTGAGCTGCCTGGCTATTTATACATATATCATATTCTTGGAGCTAGAGTACGTGTTCAGGCTAATGTACAGAATGGAGATTGACCTTGCCTCTGGAGGGAACTAATAACTGAGGCCTTGTCTATTTAAAATGCTTTCCTGAGCCTGACTAGAGTTTAGTCAAGCAGTTTCTAGGTAGGCAAAATCAGTTTGGTCCTTACAGTGGTACGTTCAGTGCGTAATTTCTTGCAAATTTGGATTTGTTGTAGAAAATACAGCGGTGCAAAAATAAGGAAACAGATGGCATCCTCAGCAAGGAACTGCTGCACTCCGTTCGTCCGGCATCACCTCCTGTCCGAACTGCCTTGTGTTTGAAGGAGCAGGCTCTGCTCCCTGTGAACGACGCTCTTCGAACTATAGAGGGCAGCAACTCGGCAGACAACCGGTACAGCGACTATGCGGAGACCTTTTCCAAGACCGAGCCTGGCGTAGTCAGCTTAGAGTTCGGCGTGGCCAGAATGACTTGCTAGCCTCTCAGGGCATTTACTGGGCTGGCTAGAGTGCAGGAACTGGACGATTGTGAGGGTGGTCGGTGCTGTGTGGCCACAAGCACATTTTTCTACTAATCTTAGGGTTTAACAGTAGGTTAGTAGTGGAAAAAGAATAATAACTACTCTTGTGAGAAAAACAAGTCTGCTGAGTTGCCTTTTTAGCAAGGAACGGCATTCAGAAATGAGTGGTATTTGGGGGGTTTACTCCAAACACAATTTGCCCCGTACACCAGTGAGTTAGCACTTGTGTGTGATTGACGTGTTCATCCTAACCGAACGTTACGCACCTCCCTTAGGTATAACTTCACTGCGAGAAAAAGCAAAGTGGCCCTTCCGGCAACCATTACCACGCCATGTGCTTTCAGTCATGTGGCAGTGGCCACACACAACATTTTGCCACTTCGTTATGTTTGATGCTGAAGTTCCAAGAAAATCTCTCTAAGGAGGCCTTAAAATGACTTCAGCTGATTCTTTACCTTTAAATTGTATCACCTGATGGAACAATTGTTTTGTTTTCGTTTGGGCCAGCCTTGTTTTATTTGCAAAGAATTGGGTTCTTTGCAAATAAAATGCAGCAGGAGTTGCAAGTGGTCAAGAAAAACACTCCTTTGTAAACACTTGCCAAGTATACCGTTTATTTAGTTCATGTGTAGCTGGTCCACTTCCCTTTTCAAAATTAGTCAGAAGGAAAGGTTTTCTTCCGATCATTGGCTCTGTGCTAATCTGATGAGCTCTTGACCACATAGGTAGGTTACTGACTTCTTAAAAATGTGTCACATAGTCCATAATCTTTCAGCATAGTACATAGTCACAAGGCCTAGTACGCATTTAAAAACAATCTGTTTTCTCTCTCAATGAGAAAACAGTCTGTTTTCTCTCTCAGTTTATCCAAAAACACTCCTGGCTTAAAAAGAGCAGCTATTTCTATGTGGAACATTTTCTTTTTCCTTCTGTTAAACATAGACGATGACAAGGATCAAAGGAGAACTAAGGAACACCTAATATAACGGTTAACAAAAGCAGCTTCCACGGTTTATGGAGACATTTCATCTGTGTATAGTAGGGCTGTACATTTCCATGACAAACACAGCATTTTGCAATGGGCAATACAGTTCATCTGGGACTGAAATAGAGAACTAACCACGGCTTGGGGGGCGGGGGGTAGGGGTGCACCCTGTGCAATTTGAGAGTACGAGGACACCTATGGGAGCGCTCACACTCTTACAATGACACTTGGAGCTATTGTATTCATTTTGAACATAAACATTTTTCTTTGAATGGAAAAAGTCTTACTGTTGGAAAGTTTCTCTAATCCTGTTTGTTTTCCAGTGCTTTTCTGGAGCACAGTGCGGAATAAGAAAATGCAGTCAATTAGAGCTTGTGACAGAGCGCAGCCTATCTAGCCACTGTGGTTACACAGGGAAACTTTGGAGCCTTGTTACTTGGTTCCAGTCACTGATTTTGGTTCTGGAATCTTCCATCGCAGATGTCTTGTTTTTAACTCTTTGTTTCCTCTGTTAATCTCTGATGTGAGACATATTTCTCACATACAGAAACCCATCAACATCATAACGGTAGAGATTGGCGAAAAGCAGATTGTGTGTATGTCTTAGAAAATTGGATTAATTTTGGTGTGTTTGGAAATGTATAGCATGTAAATTATTTCATGTATTATTTAAAGTAATTAAATATTCATGTTTTACTTTGAATCTTTTTTTTTTTTTTTAATAGAATCAAGTTTTGGTGTTTTTTTGTTTTTTCTCTTACCTAAGCAAATGCATTTGTACATATCAGTACAGTAACCTTAACAGTATATAAGATTTGAGTGGCTCATGTCATAAAATGTTGATGCTTGTAAGTAATACCTATTAATTAAAAAAATTCCCAAAATACTTCAAATGGACATGTTGTTGTTGTTATGTGCCGTGGAGTCGCTTCCAACTCACAGTGACCCCTGTAGGTGGTTTCCAAGGCTGTGAATTTTGGCAGGAGCAGAAAGCCTCCTCTTTCTCCCAAGGAGCAGTTGGTGGGCTCTAACTGCCAGCCTTGTAATTCACAGCCCAGTGCGTATCCTACAGAGTCACTGCACCCCTAAAATGAGCATAGTAAGATAAAAAGTTCAGTATATATTGTTTGGGTTTTTTTGGGGGGGCTTGATCAATAAGTTTATTGTCTTTCTCTGGGAAAATCTCATAGAAAATTTTGATTTTGTTCTGCTCTGAGGAAGCTTGCCTTCTGAGCTACCTAATCTTTCTTCTTGGCAAGAGACATTCTAAGCCGTAAATCAGAAACAATAATGGCAGTCCAATTGACTACTACAAGAACAAGCAAGTTGTTCACAAGGGGAGCCATCAGGACAAGCGGTTGGTTCCCCTCAGGGCAAACCCCCTTCCAAGGGGAATACACGAGCAGGCATATAGTCTTGCTGGTGACCACATTGGTCTACCGATAAGGGAAAGTGGGGGAAAAACAGCAATGACGTTGTGAGCTAAGTCTGACCACGTTCAACAGACTGCTGTCCACCTTGATTGAGACCTGGTTGGCCAGCAGTATGGCGACACCTGGGGACTCCTAGACCCAGGGACAGGCACATGGCCACAGAGGACTGGAGCAGAGAGTGAAGCATCCAGCTGATACGAAGTGAAGGGAGACGCACAAGAACACCCATACTTGCAGGTAGCACCCATTTGACCTGGTTTCAATGGCTGGATGATCAGAACTCGACTAGAGGAAGAAAGAAGAGGAAAAAAGTGTAATATGCTATAATTCAATGAACTTGACCTATACTTATGGAACAAATCTTTGCAGCGAGGATCATTCCCACCCCCTCGGTACAAAGGGTTGACAGGGATGGGCAAATTAAGACACTGTCTACCTAAATGAGGGGACTACAAAGGCATGAAGTGACTGGCTTACAAGCTTTCAAGAGGGAACCTAGTTTTAAAGGGTATGGGGTAAGGTAGAATCTCCACTGAGTGGTTGCCAACCTGTCTGGATGGACCTGGTAAAAAGAGATGGGGGATAAAACTTTTGTGGTTCAGTTGTGAATAATTGCTATCAGGACTGATTGTGAGTGTTGCAAATGTAAAGGTAGATTTTTGTAACAAAAGTAGGGGAGTGGTTGATCTTGCAGTCCGGGAGCAGAGGATCCTGGGACCATCAAGGGTGGAGAGCGGAGTGGGGCACCCTATCTAGAGAAGCAGCGATGCCAGAGATGGAGCCGCTGGGGACTCTAGACTCAAAAAGGGAGAGGGGCTGTGTGCCGATGGCGGGGGGTGGGCTCGCGGGGTGTGCCCTTGGTTGTTTAAATGGTTGTATATTTCTGAATGCTTTGGTGTACATCCAACAAAAAACAAAAAACAGAGGGAATGGAAGCAAATGCTGTTGAATGATGATGCATGGAGGGGATTGTAATCATTGAAATGAAATGAAATATGATAGGATGAGTGTAAAGCTGATGTTCTCCCATGTAAACTATCACCAAATTCACAATAAAAACAAAACAAAACAAAAAATCCTGCCTTTTGTCCAGGCTTCTCATGAGCAAAACGAAGTGTCCCAGATTACTCCTATTCCAATATGTTGTACATAGTTTATCTTGATTTACACAATGGAAAGCCTTTATGTAGTCAATAAAGCACAGATATACAACTCTCTGGTAAAAATAAAACAAAACAAAACAAAACCATTCTGGTCCAATTCCACCTGTTATTTAACATCTTTCTTAGGCTTTTTCTCACAGACGGCTTCTCTTGTGTGTACACAAGAGAATGCTTCAGGGTACATCCAAAAACAAAACAAAACCACCAAAAACAAAAACACAGGGAATAGAAGCAAATGCTGTTGAATGATGATGCATGGAGGGGATTGTAATCATTGCAATGAAATGAAATACGGTAGGATGAATATAAAGCTGATGTTCTCCCATGTAAAGTATCACCCAATTACACAATAAAAGCGTTTAAAAAAAAAAAAGTAAAGTATAAATCTAGTAAAATGTATGTACGAATTATAATGTTGTTAGGTGCTGTCGAGTTGGCTCTAATCATAGCAAACCCGTGCCCAACAGAACCAAACCCAGCCTGGTCCTGTACCAGCCACACAATTGTTTTGCTTGAGCACATTTGTTACTGCCCCTGTGCCAGTCCATCTTGCTGGAGGTCTTACTCATTTTTGCTGACCCTCTACTTTGTTGTTGTTGTTGTTAGGTACCATCAAGTCAGCACCAACTCAGTAGTGACCTTAGGCACAGCAGAATGAAACAATATCTGATCCTAGGACGACCTCACTACTGTTGCCACACTTGAGTTCATCTATGCTGCCACCTGGCCAATCCATCTCGTTGGGGGGTCTTCCTCTTTTTCTCTGACCTTCCATCTTACAAAGCATGATATCCTTCTCCAGTGACTGTTCCCTCCTGACAATATGTCCAAAGTATGAGAGATGAAGTTTGGCCA